GGGCTTCTGCCTCTAAAACGGTGAAGAATAACACAACATTGTGTACTGTGCATTGTGTATTATGTATGCAATGTTGTATTACAACTTCTGCTGTAATAAATGGGTTCGTGTTTAAGATGCCACAAAACTCTTGTATTATCTTTGCCTCCCAAAGCTGATTTACAGCTTCTGCCTTTCTGACAATCGTGATACCTAGGATCTTACCGTGGATTCCAACCACCCGCTAAAGGAGATTGATGCTTTCGTAGCAAGTGGCAAAAACGTCATTGAATTCCCCAAAGGTAGGGGTCTTTAAAAGATATATGAGCATTAATAACTGCAAGCGCTATAAGTGACCGTTTAGAAATGCTTTGCATTGATTTTCAAACTCACTTCCTTGAACACTAGTCCCACTGAATATCACTTCTGTCAGAGTAGATTTGGGTAGGCTGCAGTTTCCCAGAGATTCATTCACTGAGCAGGCCCATTGGCCATAAAATCATAAGATCCTACAGTTGGAAGTATCAACTAAGTTCTTCTAGATGAACCTCCTGCTCAGTGCAGGATCCACTAGAACATCTCTGACAGATGACTGTGGTCTCTGTTTGAAGACCTCTAGCAAAGGAGATCTCACCTTGTTCCACTGGCTGATAGAATAAGTCCATCTCCTCTTCTGGGTAACAACCTTCAACCTTTAGATATTTGAAGACCCAGTCTTTACTTTCACAGGATAAACTTACCCAGATCTATTTCTCCCAGGACTTGGTTTCCAGATCCTTCACCATCATGGTAGCCTTTCTCTGAACTTGCTCCATTTTGTCTCTGTCTCTTAGGATCGGTGGTGCCCCAAAGTGGACAGAGAGCTCCAACTGGGTCTCACCAGGGCAGAGGAGAGGGGAACAATTATTTCCTGCAATCTAGATGATGTCCCTGTTAATCCATTTCAAGATAGCATTGGCCTTTTTAGCAGCTGCATCACACTGCAGGCTCAACTTGTGTCTGGCAAGGACACCCCAATCCTTTCCCCATGTATTCCTGCCAAAGCAGGTCTCCCCCATTCTGTATTTGTGCCTTTCACTTTTCCTACCCAGCTGCAGAATGTTACGTTTCTCCCTGTGAAATTCTATCCCTTGATTTCACCCCACTGCTGAAGAGAGTCTGTTTTTTCTATGAAGTTTTTCTGTAGTGCAGAATCTCTTCCAACTGTCCTGTTTTGGGTTGTCACTCAAGGATGTCTGCAAGGTACGGTAAAAAAAAAGTCACGCTGGCAGGTGGGATGGTGTGATTGAAGCTCCACCTGTTTTTTAGGTGCGATTGCCATCTTGACCTATTTTACCATATCCTGCAGACACCCCTACTGTCCATTTACCTGTTGGGTTTTGCTTTTTCACTGGCTACAGCGGTCAGGTCATCCCCATCCGTTTCTAATTCTGCTCTTTGCACTCGCCGCTCTCAAAGCTCCTTGTCCTCTGAGGCCCTTAACCAACTCTGTTGCAAAGCTCCTGTTAACCCAATTTGCTCCCCCGGCAGATTTCAACACGGTGCTATTGAATTTCCCCACAAACAGAGAAAGTGGGGCTGCAGGTTGTCCATCCCTGGATTACATGGATTCTAGAAAAAGTCATCTAGCTTTGACTGGAAACCGTATATAGACTTTTTGCTGAAAGAAGAAAAAAACAAATTGATGAGTTCGGGATCTGGGGGTTAAAAAGGAAATGAAGAGGTTGAGGAAAAGTTTAAGATGATAATTACTCAATAGAAAGAAGGGCAGAAGGAATGTATGCTTTTCTTTTTCTTTTTTTCCTTTAATTTCTTGTTTATCTCTTATTTTCTACTTTTGATCTTGTTTATTTTGTATATTTTGCTATATTGGAAAAATCTAATATACATAGTTTTTTATACACATTTATATTTTATAAAAGAGTCATCTAGCGTTGACTGGCATCACCTCTGCAGGGATTTAGGGAGATGACTAAGCTGGGCTGGTCACAAATTCCAGGGTGGTATCGGTATTCTCCTAGGAAGAGGTGCATCTGGATATCAGGAGGATCTTTCTGACTGTATGAACGGTTAGCCCTTGGAACAGGCTGCCACATGGAGTGCTGAGTTCTCCTTCCCTGGAGGCCTTCAAACACAGGCAGGATGGTCACTGTCAGAGATGACCTCTAATGTACCTTCCAATCCTATGATTGCAGGATTCCCATGACATCTGGAGGACACCATAGTGCTAAGCAATGCCAGCATTGGTCAACCAATAGTCTGACTCAGCATAAACCAGCTTTTCTATTCAAATGTTGATGGGATTATCCACAGCTCTCCTACCAACCAGCAAAAATGTGTGTTCATTGAGGGTGGGAAAAAGTAAAGGTGGAAAATACAAATGATTTCATTGCGATCCAGAGGTTCAGCAGCTTAGCCGGTTGGTGGCTGTTTGCTGCAGTCTTGGACATGCAGATGTTCATAAGGGACACACAGTGGTGTAAATGGGACTACAGGCACTGCAGTTTCTGATTTCTGAGCCTGCCAGAGGAAATTCCTTCTGGGTGGCTTCAACCAATCAAGCACCTCTGCAAGAATTTAATGCATTTATAAGTTTTTGGTAACAGCAACAGCACCCTGAAGGAGCACTACTCCTGCAATTGTGTATTCGGTCACGAGCCATAAAGCTTTCAAACAAGAGAGGTTCCCAGACTGTTTATTAGATGAAATGTGGCTTGAATCAGAAACGACATTAAAGCATTGCAGTTGCTGGCTCGGCACAGGAGACTCAAGCTGGTCTTGCCTGTGGCTGAAGTTTGAGTTAAAGGCTGGTATCACCCATTAAAGTCGCTTCCTTTTTCTTGTGTGAAATATCGACGGTGTTTGTTCTGCTGTGTGCCAGCTGCAGACAGGAAAACCTACCTACCCTTCTTCCTTTCTTCCTTCTTTCTCTCCTTTCTTCCTTCTTTCTCTCCTTCCTTCCTTCCTTCCTTCTCTCTTTCCTTCCTTCCTTCCTTCCTTCCTTCCTTCCTTCCTTCCTTCCTTCCTTCCTTCCTTCCTTCCTTCCTTCCTTCCT